ACCCAAGGAGGCTGCACAGCCTCGGCTGGCGCTGCCCTGGCCAGGACACACAGGGATGGAAAGGCGATGGAGACCGAAGCACGGACCCGTGCTTCCGAGTGGGCAGCCCCCGATCCCGGGGCACTCCCTGCCCACGCCACGAAGAGCAAACCGTCCCCTGCAGCCACAGGGCCAGCAGTGGAGCCCCTCACTCACGGTGCCCTGCGCAGCGGGGCTGCAGCTGGCTTGCTCCAAACCACACGAAGGCAGATGGAAGCATTCGAGCACACGCGTGGCAAACACTCTCCCAGGAAGCGACACCGCCTTCCTCCCTCCAGCCAGAGGCAGGAAAGCGCGAGGAGCGAGAGAGATTCTCAGGAAAGCCTGAGTCAGCCAGCCAAGAATGCAGGGAAGGAAGCCGTGCCCCTGCAGAGCATCGCCCGTTGCCTCCCTGCCTTGGTTTCCCCTGACCTGATGGGAAACTCTTAAAAAAAAAAAAAACAAACAACAAACCCCAAAACTAACTGTCCACTCGCCTTCCTTTTGCCCACGACTTCAGAACTGGGCCCAAAGCGGGCAGGGTGAGCGCGGCCTGGCACGGGCATGGGGATGGGGGGCCTTCAGGCGGCGGAGGACAGGCGGGCGCCTCGTCTCCGCCACAGGAGGAGCGGCCAGTGCAGGCACCCAGGGCACACGTCGTTGTGCAGGCTGCAGCCGCAGCACCAACCTTGCGTTCGGCGTTTGGTTTGGTTGGGTTTTTTGTTTGTTTTTAAACAGGCCTGGAACAAATAAAAGGGAAGAAGAAAAAAGGAGACAAAAGAAATCCAAGCTTGGGGTGCCTGACGCTGTCAGCACAGATTTGCCTCTATGCCCCTCTCTCCCTGATCTCCACGCTCTGTCTCTGGTGCTTTTTCCCCTTCCAGTGTGGTTATTCCCAGTCCTGTCTCTCCCTGCAGATATCAGCTCCAACAGCTCGCATCTGTCTCACCGCCTGCTGCCGGGCCCCGCTTCGCAAGCACCAAAGCCTGGGCATCA